GCCTTTCAAGGCAACAATATAGCAAAACTTCTGAGGAGGAGCAGGCACCAAACCCACATCTATCCACTGTCTGATCAACCTTTAAACCTGTGTATGGCATGGMATCCCAGCCTGCTCCTCCTGCCATAGCAGTTGTTCTTGCTGTAACACGGGTTGCACTGGTGAGAGGCACATGTCCTCCAGAAGATGCAAAACTGGTGCTCAATCTGTACATCCCACTCGCCCTTGCAAGCCTGCAGGGGTGCTAAAAGCCCAGTTTGTCTTTTTAATATCTACAGAACTTTACTGGAAARGACCTAGGCAACTACAGCCATACAGATTGCTGTGCTAGATTTAGAAAAAGAAAGGGTTTGTGGATTGCTCCCTTTATCTTATCTCAGTCTAGATTTTTCTTTAGATAGCTACTACCCTTGACAGAGCTGGGTCTAAGGTAACAGCAACAACTTGTTTTCTTGTCACAACAAGAGAGAGACAAATAATTCAATGAGTGGGTCGAACAACATAAACAACATACGAAGTTTGCACATACCATATAGCAACACTGGAGTTCTCATCTTGCTTCTTATTTTCTTCTGATGCATGATTTCATCAACAACTTCATCACCATGCACAGGCTAATTCTGTTACTATGGTAAACAATTTATCTCTCTCATTTTATTAATATTCATTCCAAACAATTAAAAAAATGAATCTACCAATTTAGGTTTATGCCTTTGGCAAAGGCAGCCTGTTTTGTAGATTAGAAAACATAACTGTCCTACCCAGAAAACCTCACTATCCAAGGCTTTTGTTATGTTTGCACAGATATTCACAAATAAATTCAGTCTATGATTATTTTCAGATTAATGACATCCTGCTCTACTAGAATATTGCCAAATCATCCTTTTATTGCCAGTCTTGCAAGATTTTGTGGTGGTTTTTTGTTTTTTTTCGCCCTAAAGCTCCAACTCTTAAAAGAGTTTGACATGATTAGTCAAAACTCTTGTTTTCCTTCTTAAAGTCTCAAGCAAGCCTTGTCGCAAGCTTGACTCATGTTACCTTAGGGGCCCAAAAACCAGAAGTTAATTGTCACATTTTCTTAACCACTTTCAAGACTTTTAAGGGTCTGACTCATGATTTCTAATGCCTACAGTTGGCAATACTGCATATACATTACATGTGTCATACCATCCATCTGCCAGTAAACAAAATCTTTATGGAATGCCAGTTAGTTACTACTCACCCTGTTTCTAATAAGTTATTTTTTTTAACAATGTTCAAATCTCTGGTGCCAAAGAAGTTACATCACTGCAGTAGTCACAGCAACAAAACATAAATTTCTCATTAATCTGATTAAAGACAATCAGTAAAATCTGCCTCCTACTCAAACATGCATGCAAAACCTAAACCAAACTACTTAAAATTTCTTAACTAAGCAGCCTACAAAGCAGAAGGTAAGCCATGAAAACTCTTACTAAATATCAACTGTACAAGCATTTGCTGTACTGCTGTCATTGAAATACAAATATAAGAGACAGCTTGTGAAGGTTTGTTCCATCCAAGGACYCTCTTGTTGTGTGCTGACCAATGCCCTCAGCCCACCAGTGGAAGAACATGAGAACCTTCAGTGTGGACCAGAGGCATTCTGCAGAGCTGCAGGCTACCCTCATCCTGCTGCTGAGAACGACACCTTCACCTGGCCAGCCACATGGCAGCAGATTTGTCATATACTCCATTTCTAAGAAGTTTCTGCAAAAAGAAGGGCAGAATGTTTCTGTAACATGGGATGGTAGCACTTYTATGTTTGAATTAAAATTTATGACAAAATTTAATGTTTTTATTACTCATGCTAACATTTAATCAGTTTTACACTTTAGAGAAAGGCCCTCATTTATAATGCTTGGCATCAAGTAACCAGAATCAGAAAGCCACACATAAAACAAAAATATATTTATACCATAAAAATACATACAGTAGAAATAATTTCAGGCATATTTAAATTATCCACTAACTCAGCTAGATATTTACACCACTCAATTAACCCAACTCTGTCATTTTGGCTCTACTTTTGAGCCTACAAATAAAAACTTAGTTATATGTGATACAGWTGTGATGATTGTACCTCAGAATGAATCAGAAATATCCAAATGGTTAAGAAAACTATGTACAACTTGCTTAGTCTGAGTCAGAACCARTCTTCTCTCCATGAACCTCATAAGCATGTTTTTTGCAACTTTCTACACTAATAGAAAAAAATGTAAGCAAGGAAAGAAGGGAATAAAGGAAGAAAATACTTGGGAGATATTTTTGTTTCAAGAACTTTAAAGATTAATAACTTAATTATCAGATTGGCAATTATGAATAGCTTATAATTAAAGACTTAAAAATTGAACATCTACTTGACATTATCTATTAGAAGCCCAACCTGCATATTACTGCTGTAATGGAAGTGATTCTGTTCATTTTAGGAACTAAACATGTTTATCTCTACATTTCTTGCTACATAAACACACTTTGTTTTCTGGCATCACACTGAAATATCCCCATGAACATGTTTGTATGATTCAATACTTAATACCTCGGTTGCTTTMCCCACAATTAGATCCAATATCTTGTATTGGTTAAGAGAGAAAGTAAATTTTAATCAAAAGTCCCCACTATTTCTATCAACAAAATGGCATAGAAATTACTCCGTTCCATGGAATAAATTTTTAAAGGTCTGTATTTGTGATGGGATTTATCAATTTGCAACTGAGATTTGTTCACTCTCTTCATGCTGTTGCCTAGCTCACATGATATAAGCAGCCACTCCCAACTGACAGACAGCAGGAACAATGTGCACTTCATTTTCCCCCTCGTTCTTTTATTTTAAACAGACTTCTCCTTTTCATCTTTGAGCACAAGTTTATACTTCACTGATTTTATTCAGCTTGCTATAATCTTTAGCCTTAATGCAAAAAAGTCATCTGCTATATGAGTTAGAAGGGGAAAATACATAATGCATGCAATAGGGAGGATGCACTGAGTTAGATCTTAGTAAGCATCTACATCTGCCACTCAGTCATTGCTGATAACATTTTCCTGAAGCCATCTATATATTCCAAACTGGTTTAGGAGTTGGGGGGAGGGGGTGTTGTCATTGAAGTAAAAACCACCAAAAATTGAGACAGAAATGCTGTAGTATTTCTACCTCTTACTGCAGCAGTGTAGCATCTGAATTTACTAATTTCATACAGAAAATGCGCATAGCGATACAAAAAGCTGAAAATCCCTTCAAATCCATTGTCACAAGCAAGTGAAAAAGTTGACTATATAAACACATTGAGATTATGGTCAAATGCACAATGAATGCAACACACCATTGAGAACTGCTGCTCCTGGGAACTTCATAACACTGACATGTACTTGCATAAAAACTAAACAAGTATCTTGACTTGTTAATGCAATTAARTGCCATGACAAAGATTCCACAGTACACAGGACAAAAACATAACACATATGGCCAGTATGCTTGTGCTGTGGCTATTGGGCATTTTATCCTTGCATACAGACAGGCCTTAGCATGCTCTGAAGTACAATCCTGCCTTCTGGCTCTGTTATTGGTCACAATGTTAAAAGTGATCAGACAAGCACCAGCCTGAAGTTAAGACAAGCTCTCTGTCCAACAGTTGTCAGCACTGTGCTTTCCTACAGCCAAATACACAATAAAGGCTGGACTTGAGACTTGGCTAAGGATAATACATGTTCTTTCCTTTTACCCACCTTGAGCAGCTTGTTTCCATCCCAGTATTTTTCTTTTAGGAAGACTTGCTTAAGATGCCAGTGGAGAAAATGAGTAATTTTCACAAAATGAAGGATTTAATACACACATATACATTTTAACTCCAATAACAATCTCCCCAGCATTCTTGCCAAATGTGCTGATAACATAGCACACAGTTGATGATATAAACATGAAAAGCAGTAACAGCTTTTTMTTTCCAATCAACTTTTTATTTCCTCCTTGACTGCAGACACTTCTTTCAGCATAATCCAGAGCAAGGTTATCCTACACTAGCATTAGACAAGATCCCATTAAACATTCTTGATGTAAGGGGTGACAACACACTCGCTGTTAGCCCACACCAAGTGTCAAGGGGAACACTAATGTGTGCATAAACTTGCTTTCAAAATGGGACAGGGAACGTATTTTACATTAGCACTTGGTCATATTTGCATTTGTCATCTCAGTGGAAAAGGACTCTACATGAAAGCCTGAGCTATGAAACAGGAGCTTCAAAAACACAATAGCAAAATGAAAGGCATCATGGCAGTTCTAGGTAGTACACTCAAAGGAACAGTATGATTTTCTTCTTTTTTTCTTTGAAGGATGATAGGTACAGAATCATGGTTAAAATCAGGAATAAAACAGAAGAATACTAAAGTTATATTCTGTTCATTCTTCTTTGGTAAACCTTACTATATAAAGCACTTTACATAAGGTCAGTGTCCTTTCATAGTCCTGTGACACCATGTAAAGTTACTCACACGCCCCCCTATGCCAGTCAGAGCAGGGACTGAAATGAGCGCTGAGTGCAGTCCAAGCAACTCGGCTGGGCAGGCAGCTGCTCCCTTCCCAYCCATCAGCTGCACTACCTGCTTCTAAACCCAGGCTGCAATTGTTCTCCTCCGCCTTTTCCCAACACTCATATGCAAAACCCGACACCACACACACTCTGGGAGCACCCCAAGGACTCACCTTCAGCGCAGAGACTCACCAGTGTAAGTACGCACTGTAATTACACTGGGATAATTTCCTGAAACAGACAAACGAAACCACCTTCCCTTGAAAGCAGAGCGTGCTTGACTTGTACAAACAGGCATGTTGACATAAACTATCCCTGCCCATTAACCTGCTTCCTCAGCTTGGCTCCTCCACTGCAGGACACTGTTACTGACAGCTGCTGGCAGATCTGCTCCTCCGAAGGATCCCGTAGCCTGCTTCAGTCAGGGTTTTATTCCTCAAGCTAACTCAAGACATTTTGACTGAATCAGGTTAGAAAACATGGTATGAGTAACTGTATAGAGAGCAACTAAACAAATGACAGTGAAGTGCATCTTTTATCATCTCASATGGATTTGGATCCCATCAAATATCTGATCAGTCAAGGACATTCAATGAGCTCCAGATTCACACTGGCTGTACAACTACACTATTAAGCTTCCCCGGCCAAAAGAATCYTTGAACATTACATTCCAAGTGAATTTTGGGGGCCACACTGCTAAGTCTCTATATATTTTTAACACTAATAGGAACTGCCCCTCTTACATAATCTGGTTCATCTGTCCCACTGCTGCTTAAAAGAAAAATCAAGTCTAAAACCATGAATGCAGAAAAAGAAGAGTGACAGTAAAGGGGGATGCCAAAGTTGCACTTTACTGTAATTGAAGATACAAACCTAAACTTTTAAAATTCAAATATATACTCAAATATGAAAGTTATATCCATTAGAAGCATCAAGCAGCACAAAAAAGGGGCAACTTTGGAGAAAAACTTTTGGTTGTTACTAAGCTTGTAATATTATATCCAACAGCAGCTTCAAGAGAACTTTATGAAAAAACTTGTTCACATGAAGACTACACTGTAACTGGATCATYAGAATTTTTCCCCCCTCACATCTTTTGAACATCTCCACACTGTACCAACAAAGCAATACCAACAGTATTCSTGACCCCTTCATGCAGAAATTTTCATTTCAACAGTTAAACAGTCAAACAATAAGGTTTAAACTCTGTTCATAACTTGTCTTACACTCACAGGTGCGAAAAAAATGGAASAAAACCAGATCTGCTCTATTATACATGAACATTCTCAAAATCAGATGGATTAAGGTTGAATCGTAACTAATCTCATGTTAGACAGTTTGTTCATATTTTGTTGAATTGTCTTTTAGAGAAGCAGGGTTTAAACTTAGAATGAAACATGTTGGCAAAATTTTGGTGYACATGGATTCTGCTAGATTCAAAATGTCCATCATTTGAGAACAATGAAAGCTTACAAATGTGGGGTTTTCTTGATACAAGAGAAATGTGTTTTAAAAAGAGTAATGCTGCTAAATGGTAATCTTTAGAGTTAACAATCACCAATATGTATGTATTCATGCCAAACACTAGTTTAACAACCACTGAGTTCAACAGACTCTTCACAGAAGTTTTTCTAAAAAGGAAAACCTAAATTACTAAAACCTAGGTAATCCTTATCTTTYGAGCTCAAAAGCTTGAGCATGCCACAGAACTCTGAAAAGTGACAATGTATGGCAACAGCAGATTTCATATTTCTTTTGGCCTCTTAGACTAAGCTTGCCATTTACATTTGAAAGACGATTCCTTTAAATTACTAGTTTCTGCAAATCTGTGAGGAAACTCAAATCTGTGAGTTCTGTATTACAGGTAGCATTGTAATGGAAGTTTTCTGAACCAAGAAGGATTACAGAGTGATTAATGCAGTAGTCTGTAAGCCAGAGTCCCGTTGTCTTGCAGTGCTTTTAATATCTGTATCTATCTGGACACAGCTGAGGATTTTGAAGGCCAGTGTTTTTTAAGTCCTGCATGCGGTTTCAATGACAAGAATTATGTTTCTATTAATTTCTACTGAATGTGTTGTGAGATTTCTAGGAACTCAGTTCTCACTGAATTGCTATTTCCAGAGACAAAGTGTCTAAAACAGTCTAAAGAGACATCGTTCAAGTCTGCAGAACACCCCATGATATCGAAAGGGCTCCTCTCCGTATGTTGTCAGGGCTCCCATCTCTCATTATATGCACACTTAGCATCCTCAAAAACACTAATTAAGCACAAACAAGATGTTTTAAACAGTCAAAATCACACATCAACACAGCAGCCACTGTGAACTTTATTAAGAAAATGTTTGCCAACTAAACTGTGATGAGTTTACCGACTTCTCCATTTACTTGTAGAAAATCAGTTCTTTCATAATGGCTCTGGAAATCATTTATTGTTGGGTAAATGATGAATCCCTGGCAGTGTATGGTCTGCTTGAAACCCTGTCAGCTTTACCATGAAAGGGCTATATACAGCTTTGCAAAATGCAAAGGCAGCGACACATTTTCCATTCAAGCAACAAAGTCATTGTTGAGGCAGATGTCATGCCAGCCAAACAGCAAAGCCACCTTTACATTAAGTATCCTTTCTAYCATGACTGTACCACAAAATGAAATGCAATTTGTGAGGAAAACAATCCATAATATACCAGTTACATTCTCTTCTAGTAACTGTTTAGTCAAGTCTTATTTCTCAGACAGGAGAGGCTGAGCTATAATGAAACACAGCATAGTGATTTATCTTCATGAAAATGTTCTGTTCCCAATGCATCTGCTTTTGCCTCCTTTGCTTTTTATAACTCCCATGCAGTCCTATGCAGTAAAAGTCAGGACAAGGCTTCTTCATTCACCTGGAGTCAGATTTATATCCAGTCCTGTAAGTGACTCAACACCACTGTTTATACACATCTCTGGAAAGTAGTTCTCCATTCCTAAGTAATCCAACCATTACAAAGATATTTTCCAATGTCTTCAACTCCAGAAGTTGCTTTAATTCCTTTTTCATCTTGTAGCTATGTAGCAGAATAGCATTGTCATGGGCTATGTATAGTAGGACTTAATCCTTATTAATAGCTTCAGTAGATTGCCCGAGGATTTTTAGTACTGTAGTAGGCTTCGCATGCAGCTACATAAGCAGATTCTGGGAAGAAATCATCATGGTATTCTGCTAAAAACCTGAGAAGAAAGCACACACACAAAAAAGAAAAAAAGAACTGAGTATGAAACATCTAAGAGAAAAGCTATTTCCAAATTAATTTTTAAGCTCAGCAAAAACAGAGCCTGGGAATTAAGAATTATTACTCCTTGAAATTTGGCATACAAAGGACTTGCCCTATTTCTTACAAGTTCTAGATAGTGAGAAACAGCCTTCTCCTATCATTCTGAAATCCAACAAGCATTAAAAAATTCCTCAAGCTCAGTAACAAAAACAAAAAAACAAAAGTTAAAGCTACACTAGAAAAAAAAAAATCAAAGAACTAGCACAGAAGGAAAAAAAATCAGAAAAAAAAATCAGTTGAGATTGTTCTGCAATTCTAAATTACCTGCTCAGCATACTATTCTCATTTATGTCTAAACTAGTACTTTCAGTTATCACTATGTCAGTATCTTATACAAATGGCCAGGAGCCATTAAGTCAAACTATGTATTTTAAGACAACTAAAGTGATAATTTTTCATACGTTTCATGTGCCTGTGCATTTAAGGTCTCCATCTTTCAAGAGTACCTGATTTAAATATGGCTCTCAATGACAAAACATCCTTCACAAATTCAGTTCCCTAATTTCATATTTCTGCAAGATGGTCTTCAAATATTATTCAAATAGCCAATCACCCAGWATTTTATAATGTTTTCTTGCTCTGCTTACTGTTTCCTTGGTTTAGGACTGAAAAWGAAAATAAACTGTGCTGCTACGAACACCAGTAACAAACAACTAAAATGTGTATAAGCTCTCTGCGCCTTCCTTTGTTAACAAAGACACTGGGTGTCTAAATGGGGGCAAAAGGGCAAAGTGATTATTAAAATCAAGGCTACAATCAAGCTGTATTTCAGAAAAAAAACCACAGGCCTTCAAAAATACCTGGATATTAAAGATCAGCATCAATGAACATGGCAAAATGCTAGCTATGTGTTMTTTATTTAAGAGTAGGAAGCAACAAAAACAGAAAACAATGCCATCTGCAGAATATTTGTTGCCTCRAAAAACAGTGGCTGGGGTGATGACTTCACTACTGGAAGCTAAAACAATCAGTTGTGCATAGCCAAAACTTTGGACATAGAAAATCCAAATTTGAAAACTACAGTGCTTCTCCAACCTCACTCACTGCTGCTCTGCCTGAACTAGGCATGTCCTTTGATCTAAAGAGAGCCAAAGCATCAAAGAATACTGGCAAGATCATCTGTATAAAGCACTTTAAATTTAATAAGGARTATATTAATTGCTCAGACCTCACAGAAAAAGGTGACAATACCAAATTGCAGACAAATGAAAAAGGATTGATTTCYCCACACACACCCTCAATCCCTGCACTTGAACACAGGCAAACAAGCGCTAAATTGAAGGAATAACTAGTTACATCCTACTAATTCTAGAAAAAGCAGTGACAGATGCAAACTTTTTTAGAAAAATCAATCCTTCACGTAGTGTCACCGTTAATTTAGAAGGCATATTGTCAACTTCTTTCATACTTGCTTATTTCAAAGCAGCTCCGTAATGAACRGTATATAGGGGGACCTAAATGGTTTCTGATGTAAAATGTTTCAAAGCACTAAAAAAGAATACTGAAATTATAGCARTTTTACCAAGTATTACCAAGTGCTGTAACCTCTGACTTTAGTTAGCTACAAATCACTTTCTAGGATGAGGGGATGGTGTGAAGCAAGTGTGGAAAAGCCTAAAACTTAACAGACTTGAGCGTAACTTCGAACATACTTTGATTGTACAAGGTTAAGATGAGCCACAAGTGGTATCAAATTAATAATTCTTCATTAACACATGTTAATGACTCCAAGACATTACAAAATTACAGGTGCTGATGAAAATCTTAGTGTCTTTGAATAACATTCAGTAAAATAGAGTACTAAGAGCTAGATCATACAAGGGAGCTACAGAACAAGGGTTCTGTTCTAAAAAGAACCTTCAGAGGGCATTGGGTAGCTGGCAGTTCCAAAAATTTTAATGGCATGTAATGGGAAACAGGCTCACTTTCTCTTACAAATTTCCTGACTTTTGCTTAAATCATCAGTCACACATGCCAGTTTGGTGCGTGCTAAAATGACAGTTGGTAGAGATGAAAAATTTTAGCTGAGATGCTGTGCCACAGCTACAGCTCACAGGAAAAAAAAAAAAACAGGCAGAATGCACACAGTCAAATATACATCTCCTTACATATTCTTCATGTAACAGTTGTGAAAAGCAAAATACTCCGGAGCTAGCAAACACAAATTATTTTCCTCAGAGAAGTAGGAGAAAACTGCTGAAAGAACAGTCAGCTTCCTGTCCCAACCCCTTGTGTATCTGTATACAAAGAGCAGGGGCCCTTCTGAAGCTGCTTTCTATTCAAACAACATCACAGTGCAGAATGCTGGCACAAAAATATTAGGAGTCTCCTAAGACTCTTGCCTACTGGATATTTCACTATTGCTTTGCTCTTGGACAGGCTAAAACAGCACCAAGATCAATTACACTGCTACCTGCAARTCATGAGCCAAGATTTAAAGACAGAGGGAGCTGCACTTAGCAGACAGCCAATGTTCCACAACAGATCAGAAAGCACATTGCTATTGAGCTATTCAGAAATTGTTTCATTAGTTTTAACTTACAAATCTGATCAATTCAGTCACCTGTTGCATTTTTCATTTTTATACTTTTTACAGAATTCATATGCACACATCTACAAAGCGAGACTGCTGATAAGTAACCAAATTCTGGGATGCACAGACTGATGTGAGTCTGCATGCATTTTTCATCATAAGCATTCTCAAAAACAAAACTCATGCTTTACACTCATGCTTAGAACATAGAGGTAACATGGTACAATGCAGGCATTTCCCTCCCTACCACAGATTCTTAGAAGGGCAACACTTCAGAAAGGTCTAGAGGGGACAGAGACAAGGGAAAAAGACATGAGCAACTCAGGAATTCTTCAAGATATGTTCTGATTTTCAAGTGGGGGTTCTTTAACAAGGTTACCCCAGGTAACTCCAAGCAATAGCCTCGCAARTATACTACCATCTGAGTTATACAGGCAGATCTACCTAAAATAGGCACTGAATTACCACTACCCACATTAGAAGGTCATTTGACACACATCATGAACATATTTCAAAGAGAGTCAGTGAATTTACATGAGTTTTAAGAGCCTCCTGTGGTGGGCCTTGTCTTGACACCATCAATACAACTTACTACCAGAAGTCTCTGAATGAAGGAAAAAAATTATTTTAAATGTCAGCTACCATTACATGAATAAACTCAGGGACAGTCCAGAAAGTATGAAAATGGCAAAGAAAGAAAAACCTTACTTTTTRGAAAGGCATCCTCAGTCATTAAGGTATGGGAAGTCAGAGTCCAAAGGAAAAGCTTCCAGGAAGGGGACATCTTACACCCTTCTGMTACACAGTTTTAAAAGGTAACCAGATGCTTTGATCAGTGGCCTGATCCAGATGCTGTTTGAAAGGCAACTGTAATATCTATCTAAATTTGCTAAAAGATTATTATGGGTCCTAACTCTATGAGTCACCTCATCAAAAGAAATTTCATTTGCAGATTAAGAAATGTCACCTCCTCTCTTATACTACTACTCAAACGCAGGATTTGAAAACTAAAAGACTTTAGCTCCACAGAAAAAACCCAACATATGCCACCACCTGACCCTCACCACCCTCCAATTTATAGGCCTGTCTCCATATGGAAAGCTGTTCAGGACAAAAGATGACAAAGCCTATCACAGCCCCACTGCAGTCAACAGAAGAAGTGAACTGAAGTTTCAGATGTTGTTCTAATACCCAGTGTCTCAACCACCATGCTAAAGGAATAAASTGGCCTGTTTTGTTGACTGGACTCTTGTCACTCATTGATATACAGAAACTGTGATCATATTCCTTGGCCTTTTAAGGGAAAGTGTAGAGAACCCTGAAGATGCCGGGATGCCATCACAATAATCAGATTGAGTGAGTGAAAATTAAATTTGCCCAAAGGCCTTTTGTGAAAACAATCCTAAAAGAGCTCAGTGGAGGAGTCCTTGGTTTGTCTTGAGCATGAAGACCCACTCATGGCCAGGCCAACACAGGTCCCTAGAGCTGCCTTCTCAAAAAGCTGCCATAACACATTTAAAGTATTTGAGGCAACCTCTCAATTTAGACGCTTGATTCAAAATCTTGGTTCAAACCTCAGCTACTCACTAGCAATATGCTAGTCAAATTCCCAGACACCTGATGATTTGGTAAGCAGAAAGAAGAGAAGCAATTCACAATGCGAGTTTCAGGAACAGTTTTTCGCAATGCAACAAAACCTTAGTCAAGAGCAATAAGCACCATTGAGCACATTCTGCAGACCAAGTAGACAGCAAAGCCCACTGAAAGGAAAAACCTGCACAATACCAGGTACTCACTGACTAAGAAGCATTCTACATTAAGGTGGCAAAAGCCTGAGAGAGCCCAAAATGGCAATTAACTTTCTACTCATTCAATGAATACAGCAAAGCCCAAATAAATGGAAGTAATACCCTTAAATAAGGCACTGTGCAATGAGAATTCCTTCAGTTCAATGTGCTTCAAAACCTGGGGAAAAAATGTTCCTTTACATCCTTGTGCACCCTAAACCCACACCTCCATTTACACTCGAAACTTGATTTTCTTACATTAAAGTTCTAATTCCGTTAAGTTTTCTACTATGTCATAACATGTAACTAGTTAATCCCAAAAATTGAGACAAAAAAACCCAATATACTTCGATAATATTAATCAATTAATAATCAGTATAAGAAACATTGGCACAATTATTTTTCATCTTTCGGAAAGTGATTTTTAATTATTTGCCCAGATTTTGCAACTGAAATCACAATGACTCACAATGAGCAGGAACTCTGTCACAAAGCAACTTCACCTAACTAAAGATGTCTTCTATTCTGCTCACCATGTGAAATGCTTAATTTTTTCATTCTTAGACATGAATAAGCTCTCATGAATTGCACATTAGCACAGACTAGTGGTGATAATTCACCACTGCAGTTGTATATAATAAAATTACTCAAAATGTATGCTGTCAAAACCAGAGATTTGTTTCTTAASGTAACTTGAAACAACTTGTCATCTTTGTATATAGATATATATATTTTATTACCACAGACCTCTAATTTGGTCACATTCTGATTCAGCTTCCTTCTCAGAAAAACTCAACAGTATCAAAATATTTTTCTACCCATGGTACAGAGTGACACAACAGAAACACACAGATTTTAGAGCACCAGGGACAGAAAAAAAAACAAAGAGAGATCCAACCTAAAGTATTTGACCATTAAGAAATTGGTTCTCCATAATCTGAAATTATGTATATTGGCCTCATCTGAAAAAAATGTATTAAAAATTTTAGAAGCACTATTTTAGAAATACTTTATCACTTATTCTTCTGTATTTCATGAACATCAAAATACCTTTCATTTATCATTTATCTATCAGAATACTACTTCATTTTGCCTTTTTTCCTAAAATGCAAATAACATTCACTGAAATCATCTCAGTGAAGAAGGGTCTTACTATTGCAAAAACAGATAGCTGTATTTTCCTAACTTTTAAGTAGCTCCTATTGGTTAACAGTCCTGAGAGATGGCCTCTGATTCCAAAGCACTTTTCCAAGTCAAGGCTGTCTGCAAATCAATGGAAACAACAAAAAGGAAAKGGGCACCTTCCTGCCAATCAGTTCTCATCACTGAGGCAGCCAGGAAATTGTAAAATAAGACACACGAATCATTTTATTTCAAAAGTGGAAATAATGGATTTAGTTTAAARACAATACTTCCTCTTACTCAAAAGCTATTAACAGGCAAGAAGATTTAATCAGGGGTGTTTCACTAGTCAGATTACCAGTCATTAAGCACAGTTAAAGCAGTAGCTCTCACTGCTTGGTCCTGAAGACTAAACACAAACTGGAAGTGAATTTCAGTGAAACCAGACAAACTGGTGAGTTTGTCACTAAAGTCTATCTCAGACTGCAAGTACTATGAATTATTTCAGAGCTAAATAATTTAAGACTCTGAGTTTTGTACTTAATTTGAGAAACTGATTTTCTTAACTTCTGCAAATTCTATAACTGAGAAATCAACTTTCATGTTCTCCGTGAAGAAATTTTCATTTTGTACACTTGCAGAAAGCTGCACTAAGCACAGACAGTAAAGCTTCTGCTTAATAAGAAAGTCAAAAAGATGTATTTCATACATTCCTTAAAAATATATGTTGTCTGTGAAATTGAGAAAAATCTTGTCTAGCAGTAGTCTGAGGGCATGACTGGAAAATACTATCCATGTAGCATCTCAAAGCTAATTTAAAGCATCTATCATGTCCTGAGTAAACCCAGGACAACCAGCTTCCAGAAAAAGTATTACATTACATAAGTCTCAGTTTCTCAGCCCACAGGAGATTAATAGTACAAATGATAAACTGTAAATTTTAGCCACAAAATCATAATTCAAAATTAAATCAGTATCTATGCAGGAACTATATCATTCATGCAATTCTGCATGGAAGTTTTATTTAAGAATACATAAACTACCTGTGCTTGGACTACTCTGCCTAGACTTCAAAAAAGATTCAGGAGTAGTTTTATTAATGCAAACAGACATTGTTACTTGAAGTCAGACATATCATTCCTTTGCTTGCTATTAGAGAAATATTAGAAAAATTTCTCTTATTAGAGAAATAAGAGTACTTCAGCTTCTCACTCAAGASCAATTCATTAAAAGAAAAAATTAAGCAGTCCTATATAAACTGGCTGCTATTATCTAATGCATCCAGACCTTGTAGGAAAGTTCTTACTGTTCAAAAATAAAGTCAGAACAGAACTGATATAAACATTTACAATAAACATCCATTAATCCTTTCATTCCCAAAAAGGAAAAGATGGAATGTGAAAACTGAAGAACTACTACAAGATGCCACCTCAAACTCAAGTTTTCTTGTGATTAGAAACAGGTAATGCAGGACTATTTCTATAATAAAAATCAAGCATGAACAAGTGTCTAGAAAATGTAATTGTTTGATCAGTCTCAATGACATGCAGCATAACGAAATAAATATCGAAATGAAAGACTTTTCAAAAGGACCATGTGAATATGTGTTGAGAAAAAAAAATCTAGTAATTTGCACTGGTTTCTGTTACCTAAGTGAATGCCCAGTAGCACAGATGATAAGAAGTTAGACCAACAAGGACATCGATGACAAAGCTACCTAAGACCAAAAGCTTCCTACAGCAGTTACTGTAACTTTGAAGCTTTTTTGACACTGTCAAAAAAGAAAGCACTTGAAAAAACACAGCCTTCAAATACTTTGTTGTAACAGGCATGTGATATCCACACTATGCTTGTCTTGAGGGGCTCATTTTGGTTTAGTTATAGCCTGGCCTCAATAACTGAAGCACACTTCTGGTTAAGTGTTTTCTAAAAGGAATGCAGCTTGTGTACTCAGAGGACTCTCCACCACAACACAAAGCATGGAAACTGGGAACTACTGAGAGCTTTGCTTCAAAAGCACAGCTCTATCTCCCCTAGAATGCTGACATGGAAACATGATTTATTTTTATTTCTATTTATAGATGACTACGTATTTCAAAAACATAGTCAGATAGAAAAATAAGACACAGATGGGTACTATCACTAGAAATTTCAGTTGTCACCTCCCTTACTGTATGGGGTGTAGGGGACATGTTTTTGCTTTCTTCTATTCTACTCCACCAAAGCTTATCCATAGAATGGTATGAAAAACACTGTATGAAAGATGCTAAAGAACAGAGACCTGCTCTCATGAACACAGAAGAATCTGAACAGGCAAAGGTCTGATAAAAACTGAGCTGATCCCCAGTGAGTTAAGCTCCCTAAGAAATACTGACTTCAAGTAAAAACAGGTTTCAAACAATGCGCTCTAATTCTGTCCTGTTTAATTGAAAGGTATTTYTAATGCCAACAGGGATCTTACAAAATAGAGATGCAAAATTGAATCAGCAAAACTTAACAACTAACTGCTTCCAGAGAAAAACCATGTACTGTAGAAACTTTGACATTAGAAACATCTTCCATTTTCAATAAGCAATTAAAGTAAAAGCATTTTAAAGCTTTCAACCCCCTGATCTATAACACGAGTTTTATTTATGCTGGTGCAATACTTATTACCTTTCCATAAGTGACTACTTAAATCATTGACCAAATTTAAGATACAATTTCCGTATTTGTTCCATTATCACCTATAACACTTTCTCCAGAAAGTTTCCCTTGGCAATTTTATTTCCCAGTGTATTAATGCTAACAACACAGTGCCACACTAGATATTTAACACCAATGCCATGTGGAGATACTAATTACAGTACCAGATAAACCAATCTGATCATGGTGCAGGTACAACCTTACYGACTCCAGTGGTGGAGCTACTGTGGTCAGAGAGAGTTGTGTATCTCCAGAAATCACTGCACTGCGTCACTGAGAAATCTCTGTTCAAAACTCAGTTAAAAGAGACTTTCTTTTAAGAAACCACCATCATTAAAAACATGCTTTAAAGCACAACTTTCTCCCCCTGTAAATAATGATACATCAAAACACTCAAGATCATGCTCTCAAAAATTAACAATGGAGACTTTGCATTTCTTCATAGAACATGCTACTTAACCAAGTCAGACTTGTCATTCTATACACAGTAACAAAGTTTCACATTTCAGTTATCTATCAACCTGTTTATGAAAAGCTGAAGTAGGAAAATCTTTACTCAAATTGCTATTGTTAAAATTGTATACTCCTTTTATCGTAATAACAGTTACAGAAAATGAACATCTTATTTTAAATCTCCCTTGTCATTCCAGAACATTTAGATCTATGTAACAACAGATACACTGCTGCAGCACATTGTGTCACATTACCTCAGAAACATCTCAAAGTGTTTTACTAAAGCCTTCAGGTTTTTCTCAGGAAAGCACATCTTCCCCAGTATTTCTGGTAGCTTTACTGTGAATAAAAAAAATACTGTTAATACTTGCTCTTGTAAATGAAACTTCTAATTGCTTTTATCCACTACACAGAAAAGAATGTAAAAATTTCTTCTCCCCACAGAGCCTACTTTTCCTTGTAAGCTACTTTCTATCTTTCAAAGCCTTACTAAATAGAAACATGCTGAAAGAGTGAATGCTGCTGGGTTTAATGGTGTTTGATAGTGCACTGGAAGTAACACTGCTTTGCTTTTCTTAAATGAAGGCTTACAGAGCCAGTAAAAGATAACCAAATCTAACAGCCTATCTTCCAAATAGATTAAAATGTACATTCTTCCAAGAATAAAACTAAATGTAAYAAAGCAAACAGAAAAATTACACAGATATCAGCACTGGAAAAAAAAATTAAGCAACTTTGAGCAGGGAGTTTTGCATCAGTTTACCAAACATCCTCAGCAAATGTTGAGATCCATAGATATATGAGGGAGGTGGTGGTTGATCACTTGGTGGATAATTCTCTGGCATCAATTTCCAGGACAAAACCTACACATAAARTATAAAAATACTGGTTATGAAAACTTGACAACATTGTAAGTAATTTCATCTGTACAGAACTTCAAATTAAAATATGAAATACACAATAGCAAAAAAACCTTTTATTATATAGCCCTACTCTGAGGGCCACAAAACTTTTAATCATTGAATTTAGGACAGTAACATCAAAATCTGTTACCTCATTCAATTCGTTGTTTCTTCTACCTTCAAAGCCAGTAAACACCGTGCTCCCTTCTTTGCTAGGAGTCAAAGTTATAGGTGAAGATGACCCACTATGGACAGGGGTTTCTTCAAAACGAAAAGAAAAACAAAAAAAAAAAGTAAGAAATAAATTTTACTACTTGTAAACCACTATTTGGAACTATAAGCCATTAAATGCATCTAAGGCTGATGCTAGAATTTTTGAAGTCTTAAACATTAAATTCAATAAAGGCTCTCCTGAAACAGACCCTCAGAGAAGCAGCTCATTGAATYCTGTGGAAAAATACACCAAAGTACTGAGATTACTGCTTTATATTTCTCTCTTTGGCAATAAGGCCTCAGAGTTAAAGAACTGATACAAAAAGAAATGAATTCCCACTTTGATTATTCAATTCGTAGTCCATGCAGCATTAAAAGAAGAATTTTATACTGTGTTTAGACCAACAATGTACARAGAAAAACCTACTTTTTTCCAGGTGCAAGAAGAGCTTTGGCATRGATGCTGGGGTCTCGAGGTGACGCCGTTTAGGCTGTGGGGACGCGCTGCTCTCCGATAACCTGTCACAGTTGGAGCTGTGGCGTGTCGAACGCCTCAGCGACTGCAGGATTTCGGGYTCAGCTTTTCGCCTTTTCGGCGTGGCGGGCTCCCCTGTGGTGGGCTGGCTGTCAGTCGACTGAGGCGTGGGTGGATTCAGTAGAGGAGGACTTGGGGAAAGTTCCTCCTGATTTCTGGGAAATTAAGGCAACTTTACAGGATTGAAGAAATCAGAGCTCTACCCATAAAAYAAATCCTTGTTTCACAGATCTTGTTCACACTTATTCAGATAAGACAGTCTCCTCCCAATAACTATTCAAGTGATTAGGCCTTCTATTAAATACTATTTTCCACAAGTRTACTTACCTTCAAACCAAAGTTAAAAAAAAATATGAATACCACATTCTCCCACATTTTAAGATAAGCAGTATTATACTTCTTATACCTAACCTACCTGTTAGTATTTGTTGAGTTTTCTTTGATAGGAAGAAAGAATTTTGATGAAGTCACCTTCTTAAATTGAGCTTGTTCGTAAGGATAAAGCAAAATCAATGGAAGCGTGAAGTCAAAGGTTATTCTCAGACCATCCACCATCTCTTTACATAGCTCGACACTAGAGGGGAAAAAATTATGAATTTCAAAGGTGCATGTCAAAATTTTTCAGCGTAGCTGTAAAAAATTGCTCTTTAATACAGTCCATTAACATTGTAACTACAATATGCTGACTCAATCACTAATACTAAGTGATTGAAAGCACAATTAAAAAGATAGTGATTGCTCTTGTTAACTTCAGAAATACAAATATTTTTAAAGGCCTGCTTCATAACCTCAAACAAAATCCCACACCTGTTCTGGTGTATTACCATTCACTAAATTAATAAAATCTACTGTAGAGTAAATCAAGTTAGTCAGATGTTTTTCATGTAAGCATTATTTTGGCTTTCCAAGTTCAGTATGCTGAAAAAAGAGGCAACTGCCAGAAAAAGTAAGTACTCAACAAACTGAGTCTCTGTCTAAAAGGCATAAGGAGAATTTGATCTATAGATGCTAAGACACAGTCAAGGCTGTGCTCAAGAGATGYCCAATGAAACAACAAAACCAGGAGAGCGGTTTCTGCTGGTCTGCTCTGGTAATCAAAGCACTACATTTGGGAGCTAGGTCTGTGTACAAGACTTACAACATTAGGTTGGTGAGTACATGAGCAATTACAAGCAGAACCATGAACTCCAAGTGCAGTCCATCTGCAACACCCCTCATCTTTGTGAAGGTATTCCCCTCTCATGTTTCAAGTCCATGTAYGTGTACAAAATGTGATTCTGCCAAAATGATTCATATTAGAAAGTCCAAACCTCCTATCACCATTTCATACTATCTACTAAAACTACTACATATGAATTGGGTCAGGGCACCATCAAGTGCAGAAATTCTATAGAATCCAAGGAAGTCAGTAACTTTCAGTGTTAGAGCAGTAAGGGAAATACAATAAAGGTGCCAGCTGAATCTCTCTACTTAATGGATCACCAAGTTTCCACTAATTTTTGTAACTAAAGTGCTGTTTTCATCGAGGGAGTTACTTAAACATAAACCTGTAAAAATCATAATGTGTGTAAAACCTTCTGTTTATATTTCTGATATTTCATCTAACTTTTCGTTTGGGAGATTATACTACAAAGAAGGAAAAATGTCAATCTGTCACAGAATGAATGACATCAACATAAACCAAGACACTCACATAGGCTAAAATATTGCAAGGAACAGCRTAATTACACACCATTGAAACATAACACTAACAAAAGCTGGGATTTCTCCTTGATAAAATAACAATATCTCACTCCACTGTAGATAAAGGAGACTCATCTAATATCAAGGATCTTTAATGTAACAGGAAAAAAAACCCAAAACAATCAAAAATGACAAACATGCAAACATGCACGGTTAATGTATTTGTAAAATGGCAGAAGAACAGACAGCTCAACTGAGAATGACAGAACACACAGCACAACTGAACAAACTGGACTGGTGTTACCACCGTTTCCCTACATAATGACTCTAGGATTTAAGACCGTATCTCCGTTTAAAACAACAAAACAAACAAGAAAGCAAACAACTTGCACTTTGAGTTCTTTAGAAGTGTTTGTATTCAATTTTTTAATTTATCCTTTTTAAAACTTAAACCTGTTCAAGTTTATCTGAGCAGGGTATTCTTACATCAGACATTAAATTCTTCACTGACAACACGAACACATTCTTCCAAACAGGGCATGATATTTACAAGAATTAATATGATGAAACAGGATATTGATACTTTYGCATGACATTTTGGAATATAGGGACACTCTCACTGGTAAACAAATCATCAGCGTAACTCTACTATAGCTATCTGTCAAATACTTTAAGCCCTGTAAATAGGTACACATCATGGTGTAATCTCAAAGAAGTGAACAGCCCTAAAACAGAGCACAGAATGCAAGGCCATTCTTCTTGTGACAAAAGCACTAAAGATTACTTACTTCTTCTCTGGTGGTACATAATGAAGATTCATATTAGCATGGGGAGTCATCTGATGGTGCCGAGACCTTTCATTGGCTGAAAAAGCGGCATTAATTGCAAAGTGTTTTACATATGACTCCAAGATGGTTATTATATTTGTCTGGCAAGGAAGCTTCACTAGCTGAAAAAGAAACAACAAATTATTGTGTTACAAAAACAATGAGTAAGTACACCAAGTTAGAATAGAAGCCTGTAATGTRCCAACTAATTTAGCAAATACCTAGTGTGTGCAAGCAAATTCAGGACTGCCTATTTTCAACSTTTAAACTGCATTTTTTATCTTCATCATGAGAAACAAGAAACATAGCCAAATTAACAAGTCTGCTGCATTYCGACCTTTAAAAAGCAATCTGCTTTCTAAAGCACAATCAGGTACTGGAACACTACACTATTAAATATGACAAGTCACTGTTTTAGCTATAGATAAGTTTACTCCCTACACTCTGTATTTTTCCATACCTGTCTGCACTCAACATGAAACTAAAAAAGTGAGGTTAAAAAAACACAGGAGTTGTATACACAAAAATTACTTTTGACATCCTCCTCACATTCCCCATGCATATTAGTTTCCCAACTTTTATTTCATACCCTCTTTCTTCTATTAATATAGTAGCAGTCTTCTTCAAGCTTTTTTTTCAAGACTTCAGGAATTTCTATGCTTATTGCTCTTTCCTCCATGTCCCTTTTTGTATGAGTGTCTTGTTCTTCTTTCTAGAGCAGACCAGGGAAAGAAACAGGATACTGGTTGTGAAAATAGAACTTCTGTAGTAAGGATATAAGTGGATAACAGCATTAATGTAAGCTGTTTAACAATACTGCTCTTGAAAGCATCGGCAAAATCATTTTTTAAAACTTTTTTTTTTGATTGAAAGTTCTCTTRAGTATTTAACCAATAAAAAACCCAAACAGATATGTTAGATGTTGTTGCTTCRGATCACCCACACTGTAGTAGTTAAATTCCATACACCTTCAGAACATCCATTTATTCCATATTTTCCTTTCAATAATGCAGAAAGAGAAATGTTTTTTCTTGAAAACAGTTCTCTACATCTTAATTTAAGACCAGGACAGACATGCCTGTCTCACAGTAAAATACAAGTCAAAGATCCTGCTGCTATTAGGGATCCTCCAGCCTATATAGACTACTGAATTTTCACAGCACCCACAAAAGTGGAAAATCCATTTTCCCTACAAAAGCTTTATATGTAGAATGAGAGAAAAAGAAACAAATGTGTATTTTACAATCATATAATTCTATAAAAATATGACACATTGTATAATTTTCAAAATCTCAACCACAGTAAAAATCAGGAATAAGAAAATTATGCTTTTAATTCCAGCTAAATTACCAGCTGTGGCATATATATCATCTACTTCAATTTTCCTGAGTTTCAAGTACAGATGTTTAAGTTCTATTAACTTAAAGAACATATGAATATACCATTTCTGTTCTCTCATCTATGTCACTTTCTTCACTTTTTATTTCTTCATCTGTTCCTTCATCACTGTCATCAGAAGAAGAACTACTTATAGCTGCATAAAAGAGATTTCACATATTTATTATTTATTATTACATTGCAGAGGTTATCACCCATCAGTTTGAGGCCTCAATGCAGAAAAAAAACAAAAACAAAACAAAACAAAAAACCCAACCCACCAAAAAACCGCCACYAACTAGTTGTATTTAGTAAGAAAGAGTAATTCTAATTTAATTAAACATGTATTATTTGCAGCACACTGCAAATGTTTTAAATACCATAACATGCATTTATAGAAAGTATTCTTACATCCTCTGTAATTAAAAAACACTCACTTTTAAAAGCTTCCTACATTCCTGAACATTTTCATTGGACTTTAGTTCTGAACAGAGGATTAACATAACAATCATTCAATGAAAAGGTCTGAATCTGTGCAGCAACAGTTCCCAGAGTATTAGTTAAGTGCCAGCCAGTGTTCCTGCTGGCTTTCTAGTTACAAAGGAAAATGCAGGAAATTAAAAATCTGGCTTGAAAGTGAAATCAGCCAAATCAGCCAGTCAGCTGACAAGAAACAGACCTTTGTGCAAGGTAGACAAGGGCAAAAAAAAAAATCTTATTGCCCTCAAAAATACATGAAACAGTAGCAGAGAATTGATGTGCTTCCTAACACCAAACGAAGAAAAGTGAGGGCTTCTCACACCTATAAATACTACACTAAAGAAAACAGCATTAAGCCATCAAATCACTGATTAGAATAGCTGAGCAGATGAGATGCAAGGAAAAACCTCACGAATACAAGAAGAAAACAGATATTCTAACTTAACAGATGCTTAGAATGAAACATAGTGCTTATTCTTCATATGATTGCCTCTGTATATTTCAGATAGGGCCATGATACTCTCATGACAAATAACAGCATGCATTTCTACCTCAGGTCAAGAAGTTAAAGGCATCCCACCAAAGATTACCAAAGTATGAAAACAAGCTCACAGTTTTCGCTACTCTCATCATTTTCTTCAGCAGGAAGRCTTTTTAACACAGAGTCAACACCAGGCAACCTGCAACGTCTCTTCCTTCTTCCCTTTCTTCTCCTACAGAACATAAAATGGTTTACTGACATTTAGGTARTATTTCATTCATTTATCCTAGCTATCAATTATGTGCAAAATGCACAGGAAACCTACGTTTTGAGTTATTTTCATTAATTAATATTGGAATCATTCGGACAGTGCTTATTTGAGAGTGGATACCTTAATGTCTGTACCTGCCTAATATTCGTGTTCTCAAGCAGATTCTCAAGCCACAGCCAACCAATATTAGATTACTGCCTTTGGCTGAAAAATTGTTCAGGTTTTCCTAAATTATTTTGCCAGTATATTTCTTTGGGAAGATGCAGATCCAATACACAGGCATTTCACATCAATAGTTAAGAATAACATAGTTATAACATAGTATATAGAATAACATATTGAGTGTYAGTATTTTAGAATGTAAATAACAATACATAGGTCTTTACTTTAGAGTAACTCTCTAGAATGCAGAGACTGTATTGTGTACATATCTACCACCTACAGTATGAGCTCAGAGGCCAAGCTCACTTGCAGAACCCTGGATGTATTTGTATTGAAAAAGAATCTCTCAATTATTTTGAGGCCAAAAGGATTTCTTACATGCGAGCCACAGCCTTCCGTGCCAATTTACGCTGTAATCTGCGATTTTCGTCTGTATCCCGAAGAACATGATCTTCAGCTGCCCATCTATCCCAGCTAAGGATAGGTCAAAAGAAAATGAAAAATTACTATGAATATATGTCACTCATGATTACAAATGAATTAATATACTTTAAATCTACAAAGGACTCATTTAACATCATTCAGAAGCTGCATCTGTATCACCAGGTTTGCACTCTTCTCTGTTCACAAGGCTTCAACTCTCATGTTGCCATCTAAAATATCTCAAGGTTTGACTTAACGTGTGACAGCATTTGTCACAAGGACACATACGATTGATCACAGTCAAGACACTGTGCTCATAATCAAACAATCCAGGACCAGATTTAACAAAGCATAAACTTTTATTAATGGAAACTTGGGTGTGATGAGTATATGCCACAGACAGATACCCCATAAGGTTTAAACTCATGCTTATCAAACCAATTCAGTGAAATTTATGGATATAGACCAATGTGTCAACATGAGCAAGTATACCAAAGGCATTCACAAAAACAAAAATACTCCTGCAAACATCAGTCCTTTGATATTTTGTGCAATGCCTGTCTTTGCAGAATAAAATAGAAGAAATGGAAGAACTGAGCCCACATATACTGGTTCTTACCTTCTGTTCCAACCGTTAAAATGGATTAGATATTCTGGAATCTTTCGGCCTTTCTCATCTTTTCCAACAACAATATCAACAATCTGAAACAAATATTGAATAAGGCAATATTAAACAGGCTTGAGAGAAAGTAAGCTTTCTGGTACTTAGAGAGTCTATGCACAAAGAAAGAAAATGAAACTAAATAGACTTGTTATTTTGCCAGCTAATACTGGCATGAACAGAAGACAAGGATTACTCTGAATGATCAGAAAATCTAGCTTTCATTGAGCACTCTTATTATTGTCCCATGCCTTCTAGACAGAGAAAGGGAGACACCAAACAATGCAGTAGCACAGTAAGGATATGCAGATTTGGACTACTGACACTTTGTCCTGTGCGCTGTTTCCTCAAGCCCTCTAAGCAGGAGAAAACACAATTCTCTACACATAATCTTCAGAAATGCTGCTCTGTTGAACACCACAGACTCTCAGCCACGAAACATGAAAAGGCATTGGGAATATCTGAGCCTTTGTTTTCTTCCTCTTCCACAAGTGTGCAATGGCCAGTCTGAAAGGGCCTGCACCTCAGAAGATGTGCTGCCTGCACTTGAGTAGCTTTCAGTAGATCATATATCAGCACTTACGCTACATTGATAATTTAATTTGGGAATCCAGAATTTAAGAACTATTGATGGATTCACAGACAGTTATGCTATTTAGGGTACCAGAAAGTAAAGAAGAAAAGGTACTATACAGTTTTGCACTTAGGTGATAGGTTTATTGTGATAGCAACTAAAGCTGTTGGGTTGTCAGAACATAGGAACAGGTGGACAAACAAAAGGACAGTCTGAAATACTACARGATGGTGGCATTCCTAATCAAAGATATTTGAGAAACACAGACCCGCACAACTAGCAAACTGGCAGCAAAAAGTCATAATCTCATCAAGAATCCAGTTGCAATACTTCCCCTTTTATCCCTCCGTAACAAAAAAAAAAATATCCAGAACTGTTTCCAAGTTGGACACAGTCGATTTAGTATTGAAAAATAATCTTATGTAGAAATGATACCCTAAAACAACACTGTATTTATATAAAGCTCTATAATTACTACTCTTAAGGTAAGGCCCTAATTGAGGCAGTCACGTCTTACTGCAACACTTAGGGCCCATCGCGCACTGCTTGCTRCCGTATTTCCGTATACTCTCCTGCATTAGCGGCACCACTTAAACCCATCTGAAGGGCAGTAAGCGTGGGAAAGCGTGAGGGGAAATAAACCTAGGTGCACTGCAGAACTGAAGGAGTGGTAATAAGACTTCAGAATTACTTTGCAGGTGTTCAGCCCAGAACCGAGTGCGGAAAGCACGTCCGACACTTGCAGAGCCCCTCGGCGGCTCCGCTCTCTACCTGCCGCGACCGCCAGGCCCCGAGAGCACRGGCCCCATCGCCTCCGTTCCCCAGCGGGAGAAAGGCCCACAGGTTCGCAAACAGAAACTACGCACACCCCCCACCCCCGGGTCTCCCGTGGCGTGGGGAGAGAGCTGAGCCCCGCCAGGGGACAGGCCTGAGCCGCCCGCAGGGAGGGATGACGGAGAAGAAGCCCGGCGGGGACGGCCCCGCCTCGCTTCGTCTCCCCGTCCCGTGGCGGCCCCCGCCCCGCGGCCTCCCCGCCTGCTCCCCGCTCCCCGAGCCAGCGCCCGTTTCCCGCAACAAGTGCAGCTGCCGGCGGAGCCGCCTCCCGGCCGGGCCCACAGCCGCTTCCCGCGCCGCCTCCACCCGAGGGCGCGCGCAGCGCCCGGCGGGAGCGGTAACGGGAGCGCGGGACCGTAACGGGAGCGGGCGGGCCGCGCGCCGGCCACGCCCCGCGCCCTCCCGCCCGGGGCGACGCGGGAGGGGGAGGCAGGGGCGCGCGCGGCCGGTCACCTTGGCATCATAGAGCACTTTGGCTTTGGTGGGATCGGGCTCGAAGCAGAGAACTCTCTCTCCCCGGTGGAACTTAAATTTCATTCCCCGCGAGGTCATTTGTTCATCATGGCGCAAAGGAGAGGAGCCCCGCCCGCTCCCGCGGGGAGGTGCCGCGGACGGCCCGGCCCCGCCCCGCCCCCGGCTCCTCCGGCGGGGGCGGGCGGCCGGGAGAGAGCGGGGATGCAGCGCCCGGCTTSCTCTGCCCTGTGCGGGGGAGCGGCGTTGAGCCCCGGGCGCTACGGGGACCGGCCGCCCGCCTGTGCTGCTCGTGCCCGCCCCGCCGGTCACGCGGGGTGCGCGGCACGGGATGCGGGAGCGGGCGGCGGGAGGGGCGGCGGCGGCGGGGGGATGGCGGGGGGATGTGTCCCGCCGGGCGGGGGGCGGCCGCCTGCGCTGGGCCACAGGAGCCCCCGGGTGAGGTGAGAGCTGTCGGCCGTGCCGGCGGTGCCCCAGCGCCCTGGGAGCCGGAGCGTGCGCTGGGCCTGTGCYTGCCTGCGGAGCGGCGTGCGGCCGAGGGTTACGTGCACCCCGAGAACAACAGCCGCCCTTCTCTCTGCTACTGCTTCCCCTAACATCAGCGACATTCCCATTCCTTACCCTCTTTCCCGCGAAGAACCGCCTCTACTCTGGAGATGGCTTTGTGTACATTGTAACCTTCCGCAAGGTTTGTTTTGCTCTCCGTTGTTCTTCCAGCCTTCCTTCAACAAAATAAAGCTAGAAGTGAATAGGGTGTTGGCACTAGAAACCTAATTGCCTAGAGCTTGATTTATCTTAACAGTGTTTAATTTCAGATTCTGCGAGCACGCATATAGTGCAAATAATCAAAATCGATACACAGCTTTCTTGCCAGTACAGTTTATGCTGACTGATGCCTGGAAGGCATCTCTTGGGGTTCAGCCAGGGGAACACTGCAGTTTCCCACATGTTATTAGATGCTCCCTCAGGCTGTTGTAGATTTTATGCCAGTTCTGCATTGCTGATTTACACAAGACCCTAACAGAGCTGGGGGTCCTGGGCCTGGCAACCCCTGTAGAAAGACCATTTATTTTGTGATTATTTAGCATTTCTGAAGTTGTTATGTGAAAACTGTTCAGGATATGGATGACTCTAATCTGTGCAACTGAGCATACACTAGTTTGGTGCTGAGGAAAAGAGAGTTTTAAACCCTCATCTCTTTCCCAGTCACTGAGGCTAATAGCAAAGCCAGAAGCTGTAAGGAATGCCATGGGAAAGAACATGCGGTTCTAGTGTATTACCAGAAGGTTTCTGAAGGTAAAAAGTGATAGGAGCTGCCCAGAAAACAAGATTCTGAGAGGCTCCTTGAGATAGGATGGACTGAGTACTCTTTTTTGCTTTTAATTCAAAACTTACATGTTTTTAATAGTGGGGGTAGTAGGAAAAACCTCTTAACTTACTAACACTGGGTTGAGTGAGAGAAGACAATTGATGGGAAAGAGTGAGAGAAGATTAAGGAAGTGTTTCCAAAATTGTTCAGAGCCACTGATGCTAAGGTTAGGAACAGGCTTCAAACGTGGATGGATGCAATGCCAGTTGGTTGGTTTTTTGTGGGATTTTTTTTGTTTGGTTTTGTTGGGTTTTTTTTTTGTAAGATAAAGAAAATGGTGTTGGACATTTGGAGAATAAAGCCGCTTCCAAGGGACTACCATGTTTTTCTAAATAGGGGAAAACAGCAACAACAAAACAAAACAAGGAAAAGAGAGCCACCAACTGGTGCTCATATCCCTGCCTCCAGCTTGGCGTTAAGAGTACTGACACAAGAGGAGGCTCACTTCACTTCTGCATAAACATTTTATGTATTTCCACACTGCCCCCTAGATTCCTCCTTTTCTTTCCTCCCCACTGGGGACACTTGCAGATTCTGCTTCTTGTTTGTCCCAACCTCTCCTAGTTCACCCCAGCTCACTTTCACGGCTCCTACCCAATCTACTCCTCACGTTGTTCTCACTTGGGTCTCCTCATATTTCCATACAGATCTCTGCCATAGCATTTGCGATCCAGTTGTTGCCCTGCCTACTTTCCCTGCTCCCACTCTCGGATAGGTGCACATGTGCACCCTATCTCCCGGAACCACCTTGCTGTAGATAATCCTTKCCTGCAGATCCCTGGCCTTCCCAGATCTCCCACCAAGGCTCCTCCTCTAGCAGGGCTTTAAAAAACCTCTATGTGAGCTGTGCTTAACTAAGATCTACCCAAAGGGAGCCTGGAGAGGAGACATACTGGTGTGTTTATGGAAAACCTGTGACAGTGCTRTGCAGGCAATAAATAAAATGCAGAACAGGGATTTTTCAAAGGTCTGAGTTCTCTGTAGCAAGAACTGCCAGTGGCTGTCTAAAATAAAAGATAAAGAGCAATGGCCACTTGGAAAATGGTTGTGTGTGCGTGTACATACTGTCCGTGTAGCACCTGTTGAGAGCTGGACCTGCCATGTACAGCACATAAACAAAAGGCCAGTACAGATTTATGAGATTTAGCAAAGCTTGAACTATTGCTCCTCACTCGTAGGCAGCAAGTGTGCAGCAAGGAGAAATCACAGGCAGCACAGCAATGTCAGGCAGCATCTTGGGATGGCTGTCCCGAGTACTGAGGAACAGTGAAGGGGGTGAGTGGTGAGGGAGAGACCAGCGGGCAGGCTTGTTGAACATTGCTGAATCAGAAGATGAGCTGACCTACCAAGTATTTTGAGGACTTTCCCAGGACACTACATCGCCTCCACGAAGAAACGCGGCTTTACAGCTCCTCTGGGAGGCAGAGCAGCGCGGGAGTGAATACTCTGGCCTCCTGCCAAAGTGAACCCAACGAGGTCATGAAGGCTGATTTGGCTAATTTGAGGATCTCTTTCGGCTGCCCGCCTCACTGCAGGCTCAGAGCACACTCTGAGAAAGTTTTGTTCAAGGACGGGTTTTATTTCAACGAGGAGTTTTGTTTCTACAGCGCAACCCCCGGTGTTGGTGAGGGGGAAGATGGAGGCGGCGCAAGGCTTKCTGGGAGCTGTAGTCCGGCGGCGGGCGCTGGCCCCGCGGGAAGGMGGTGTCCGTGTTCCCGAAAGAGGAGAATTCCCTCACTCGACCCTTCCTTCGTGGCGCAGGTTTAGGCTGTCCGGGGAAGAGGGRTGCCCGCGGTTTACTGTCCCGGTGTGTGTGACCTCAGTGTTACCGCACGTCTGCTGCTGCCGGGCTTCTCGCTGTACATCCGCAGGCAAACAGCACCTAAAGGCGTACGCAGTTAGTCTGGAAAGATGCAATATGTGTAGTGTTTGTTGTTTGAATCCTCCCTGCTTTTCATTATTTCTCCTAGGGGGGATGTTCGGGTGCCAGGTATGTATTTCCCTGGCTCAGCTGGATTGTTGTGGTGCTCAAGGGGAAGGCACATCAGCCGAGGGCAGTAGAGACAAGGAGTGTTTCCATGAGCTCCAGCACCCACAGTGTCAGTGCTTCTTGTAAATCGCGGTGACACTTCAGTTATACCTAAGCAAGCAATTTTTTTTTTTAACCCTACAATGAGTTCTTTAAACTCCCTCCTTCATTTTTCAGGCTGGAAACGGCAAGCAGAAACTTTTAATCATTCTGAGGGTATTTTGGCTTTATGAGTCTCTCATCACACTGGCCACATTGGAATCTCTTAAAACTGTTCCTAAGCTTTTATTCAACAGCCACCGCCTGCATGTTCTCTTCTATGTTTTGTTTATTAGAAAGCAAAATTATTTGTTTTGGCATTGAGCAGGGCAAGATAACATTATTTTTTGCAGAGTGACATTCTTCTTTTTTGCCCATTTGTTTTTCACAAGTAATTATAACCAGGAGTTAAAGTATGAGGATCATGGAAATTTCCTCATTAATATAACAGGACACTCAGATGAAGCAGAGGACATCTGCAATGAGCAGGAGAAGGCAGTTAGAATCTAAGCACAACACATGAGAAAGAGAAACAATCCTTTAAGAATGGATAAAAATCTTGCTGTATTGCACTGCATAGAATACAACTTCAATGAATATCTGCACATTTAATGAAACAATAGCCCAGTTGTCCTCTCACTGAAGATAATTACAAATAACTTAATATCCTCATAATGCTATCCTTGATTCTTTGAGGTAGTCCTCAAAAAGCTCAAATGGTGAATGTTCTTCTTCAGGATCTTTATATATAGMGATGTATAGAAACACTAAAYTATTTGCTTAATTTTATTAGGACAAACCCTGTTGSTTAACTATTTGCTTGATTTTATTAAGRCAAACTCTGTTGCTTTCAAATCTCCTAAAGTTGATCCCTGGTGTTTACACTCATTTCTGCTGTTTACATTGGCTTCATAATCCTTCAGTGTAAACAGAGAAAAAGAAGTAAGGATTCTTCCCATGAAACAGCTCAAGAAAGAAATCCTGACATCACTTAAATGAAGCATGCTTCCTGTTTCAACATAATTAAATTCTGAGCTCTTAAAAATAAAAATAAAGAGAAAAAAACAACCTTAATTTACTGTAAAGCTACAGACATTTCAGGGATAAAAAAAACAGCTACAGATGGCGAGATTATTGTTACCTGTGAAGGACTTTACTCCTGATGTTCTTGCTTGGGTGTCTATTTCAAACCAAGAGGTTTCAGCCAAAATGATTGTTTTTTTAGGGTCAAAATTAACATTTGTTCTGCACGAGGAAAAAAAAATCTTTCCTGATTCTAAGGCCCTCAAGGGTTTCAGCAGGATGATAAAACCACAGAATATGCTGAGTTGGAAGGGATCATTGAATCCAACTCCTGGCCCTTCACAGCTCCATTCACCATGTGCCTGAGTACTGTCCAAATGACAGTGACCTCAGTGTCACAGGCACCTTCTGCCATCCTTGTGAAGGTAAGACCAGATTCTTGCAGCTGGGCTGTGTTTATAACACCAAATAAAACAAGTGAAGGCACTCGGCTTTTTGACCAAGTGCCAAGACCTGAGCACATCTATTTTACAAAAAATTGCTTTCCTTCCATGGACCCAAGACACAACCATTAGTATGTTTGTGCTTTTTTTTTTTGTTGGCTCTCTATTCCTGAAAAAAACAGGGTTATTGGAGTGATGTTTTCATAGTATGAAGCTGAGAACAAGTGTGCTATGCCCTAGAGAGTCTAAAGGCAGTAAAAAAAGGTGATGCTGGGCACAGGAAGAGGGAAGAGGGAAGGCTGAGCTGGCATTTGCCTGGTGCATGCTGCCTGCTGGAATGGGCTGCACACCCACCACCTCCTGCTCTGGATTCTGTCTGGGACAGTGTGAGCTGACATGAGCCAAACTTTTCCAGGACACATGCTTGCAGTTAAGCATAATGGGCAATTAGCAGTCCAGTGCTTAAGCTCATTTCCAGGCCCTGTTTTTTCTGGTGCTGTGGTCATAGCTTTGGAGTCCTTTGGGAAAAAAACTCCACATTACATTGCATGTGACTGGTAGAGATGTCTTTAATTTTAGCAGGTCTCCAGCCAGGGTTTCTTGAAGAAGCTTGCTGCTGGCTGTTTTCCCCCTGCTCTGGCAGCTGTCTGGCCCCGCTCTGTGTGTAGCAAGGAATATGGCTTGAGCAAACATTGCTGTAACAAAGTTGAGCAGAAGTTTGGGCTGAAGTACAAACAACATATAGGAACAAATATTCTTAGAAACGAATCAAGATTTAAATAACTCCAGGTAGAGTTATTACAAAATACACATTACATTTAACTTCATTATTTGTGCCTTGGTGCCTGTCTTAGGAAATAATAGTCGTACTTCAAGCTAGCAGAGAGCTRAAGCTAAACCTTTCCCAACTTTCTGATTTAAACTGACCATGAAGCAATCATGCAGTGTGAAACAGTGCTGGCATCAAGGCATGGGTCTGCAGGTGTCCAGGCAGCAGGCTGTACAATCCTCAGGCCTGCAGTTGTATTTCCAATTTTATCTTCAGATTTGCCCTTTTGTGGCCCGAGACTTTTGGGAGAAAACATACTGAACACACTTATCCTGAGAGAGGCTTGACCACAGTAGCAGAGAGGGGTCAATGAAGCTGCAGAAATACTTGATGGGGAAAAAAGAATGAAATATTTGTAATCACAAGTAATTGAAAGGGTGTTCATTGAGGCTTYACAAATGTTCAACCCCATCTACGTAGAAAAAATATAAGGAAAATAGACAAAATTTTGCTGGTTCCCTTCAATGTCTGTCATTATTTTATGTTGGTATGGTGGGAAAAAGTTGTAGGAAAAGAGGTAGAAATAAGGTATTTATACATACCCCACATCATGGAAATTATTTGTCTGTAGTAGAAAACATACTCTGGACATTAGGACTGTGCATACTTTTCATGGGAAAGAAATGGCTCTCTTGGAATGCAAACCTCCCTCATTCCTGGCCTTCGCACTATGACATCGTAAATAATGCAGCAAGCTGCTGCCCCAAAGTCAGGAGCTTGGAAAGGAAGAAAACAAATACAGACCTTGTGTGTACCTTGGTGACCAGAGAAGTGCTGAGCAAGGCAGGGTGTGTAAGAGGGCATGTGCAGTTCATGTGCAGTTCAAGCCAGGAGGGAGCAGCTGGGGCCACTGCAGTAGGGTTAGGGCGATGTTGTGTGGCTGATCAGATGCAGCCAGTGCCAGAGAGAGCAGAGGGCAAGAGCGAGGGCAGAGGAAGCTGCTTTCTGGATTTGCAGAGCAGCATGCATCCCCCAGCTGTCAGAGCAGGTTGCCCAGTCTCWGGGGAGCACAGCCTTAGAAGTCAGCCCTTTCCATTCTGCAGTTCCCAGCACAGCAGTGTTTATTGCTTTCTTCTTCTCTRTAAAGCCATTCCCTGGGTGTTGATGCTTGTATTGCTCTAGAGCCCCTTGTAGTAGCATGCAGTCCTTTGATGCACCCTGCAGAAAAGTCCCCAAGTTGCAGAGGCTGAGGTGGAATTCTTTACTTTTGGAGGGGGCCTTGGGATGCACATGTGGCTCTYGTTTTCCTCTTTAATGTAACCTCTGTAACCCCAGCAGTCCTGCTCTTTCCCATCCCCATTTTCAATTTCAACACTTTTTACTTTTCCCTATTTCATYGTATCATTTGTGATCCACCATAACCATTTGGGTTTTTTAAAAGCTTTTTTCTCACCCACTTCCTGTTTTCATGGGGTGGGGAGAGATAAACTGACACTTYGTTCTGTCATGAAATGGGCTGCTTTCTCTACCTGGCATGGAAGATCAGTGACAAAATTTGCATCTGCTTTTTCACCCAAGATTATTTTTCATAGCCATTCAATTTTCAAAATGTAGCTTGAGAGCACCTCCCTGAAGCTTTCTGGTAGTGCTAGAAAGTGGAAAGACTCCCAACAAGAGAAGCTTCCACCCTGCCCATGYCACAGCTTCTGCTCTCCCCTTGTAGCCTTCAGCTCCTTGCACCTCCCACTCACTTGGTTGGAGGGAATGTTCCCAGCAATGTTCTTTGGGTGTAGGGGTTTTTCCATTAATTGGAAAGGGAAGGGTAAACATCTGCATGAGGTCAACGTTTTCCTTCATGTTGATGTAAGGCTAGAAACTGGTGATTAATAAAAATAAATGGTGGTTGATTAAAAAAACCAACCAAACAAAAACTGACCTTGTGCAYTTATTCAAAGAGGGAGAAAAGTTGTTGAGGTGCAGGTAAGCAAATTACACCCTCCTTTCTTGATCTATGAAATCACATTTTTCAAAGAAAGGCATGTCCTCRTACTGCCAAACATACTGCATAGTTTCAACTGCTGTGCTGGTACAGTAAAGTCCTTCTTTTCACATGCCCATTCTTTTGCTAAGCCCTATTTTTCATGGCCACCTTATTCCAAAGTATAAAGAAGGGGAGAGACTTTAAAAAAGAAATACCTGAGATAACAAGATACAATGGAGTTTTGTATTCTGTAAGATCACTCAGTCAACACCTCCTGTCCTTCCCTTTGCTTCTTTGCCTGTACATTGAACAAGTCAGACAAAGCAAATTTTCAGAAGTCAAGGTACCGAGTGATAGTGAAATATGATTTAGCGTTCTTGAAAGGTTTAGCTGTTTCTAGTACAATAAGACGTGGACTATAGTTGTCTAAAATTAATGTAAAAAGTTACCAAGGTAACCTTTAGAAGACTCAAATAACAAGCCTGCTATAATAAAGATATATTTCCTTGAAGCATTCTTAACAGTTTTTCATTTGACATGACAAGAGCACTTCTGAATTATTTCTAAATGAACTGAAAAGGAAAAATCCWTATGGGGGAAATTGTTTCTTAACTTAACCTACTTCTACTCTTTTCATTAAAGAAAAAATGGTGTAGATAAGGCCAATTTTAAAGCTTTAAATTTACATTTTCATGTGTTTATAATCTGTCCAGTAGTTCAGTATTTCCAATGCTTTATTTGTCCCCTAGGCTTTTAAGTAATTTTTAATTTTCAGAATTCACGTAAGTTTTTTAGGCATCTTCTAAGTTATTTAGACCCTAAACATACATTTCCATGAATAGCACATTTTTGAGGTATGTATTTCCTTTTCTTCCTTTCTTGGATAACTCCAAAATTACTTTAGCTGTGAACCTGGCATGCTGTTACTTTGGAAGAGAACATAATTTTTCTGAGTGTGCAGAAAGAAAATTCTCTCTGAAGCAGTGAAGCCCTCCGTGCTCTTCCCTGCATGACAGATATCTGCAAAAGAGTCACTTTAATTTGGAGTGGCAGTCCTGGTTTCATGGGAAATAACCATGAATGGCCTTTGCAATCCTCAGAGTGAGGATTTGACTGATGGCTCTTAGAAAAATAAGTACAGAAAGGAGTGTAGTTCTGGGAGTAGTTATGTGTCTTCCCACATTTTCTTYGTCTCTCCCAGAGCTGAGAAAAATTATTGTGGACAAACAATAGCCCTGTCTACAATTAAAAAATGAGGGATATTTGGCATGAGGTAGAAGTCAGAGGTGGGCTAACAAGTCAAGGACTAGGAGTGGTGAGCAGCAGATATGTGGGAAAGAATTTGAGAAGCCAAACCGATCTCTGTGAATTGTCTTTGTGGTGTGAAATCCCATCCTCTCAGTCCTTGCTTTGCTTCCACGCTCTGAGTGACTTGGAAACCAGTTCAGAAATATACAGTATGAGTTCCCCATCCCTTCTTCCCACCCAGTCCATCCTAATTAATTTATAAGGAAGGCTCCACAAACCAGTCTGAAAATGGGAATAGAAAACTAAAGCTTTTGTTTTCCCCACTCCCTCATCGCCAGAGATTTTCTCCCATTTCTTAGAACATTCAATTCACAAAGTTGCTCACAATGAGCTTTCTTCAGGCTTTTAATATTGTTTCACTGTGTCTAAATACTGCTGTGAAAAAAGACTAAATGATGAAAACTGACTGTGCAGACCAGTGGCTGGATCCTTCCTCCAGGAGGTAGGACCTGGACCTGCCCTTGCTCCAGGCAATTTTTATTCACAGAGACTGTAAAGTGTCAAGAGTTAAAGTGTCAGTCTAGCTTAGTCCAGCAGCTGGCGACTTCAGCAATTCCTCAGATATGGGGAGAGGTGAATTTAGATATCTAAGGCAGAGAAACTGCCATAACCTGCTCTACCCCACCTCAAATGAGTTCAGAGAACTGAAAAGAACAACTCTTTTCCTCTGATAGTCGATGTTTTTTTCCTTAATCAAACCTAACACCTAATATTTAAATTGTTTTTCCAGTTAATGTGAGTTTTTAATATTTTTTTCTTTTGCTCAGTTTTAGATATAAGATTTATTATTAAAAATCTAGTAATATAAATGTTCCTATTGTGTTTTATTAGCAAAATAGAGGGTGTAGTTTATGCTAATATAAAGTAATTACTTCCTCATGTTGATTACTCAGGCTGCTGTCACTGGTACGTAAAGAATTAAAAATGCAGGTTTATATTCTTTCAAGCTTGAGTAATTCCTTTCTCAACACAATTATTTTGTGCTAAGTGAAGGCGTCTTTGTTCTTTCTTGTCTTTTCCGCCTTCTGGTATTMCTTGGTGTGCTCTGCACTAACCGGCCTTTCCCAGGGAAGAATGGTTCAGTGAAAGAACATACAGTGCAATTTATTTATGTTACCACTTGCAAATACAACTAAACAGAGGTAATGCACCCTGGAAAGGGGAAGAAGGAAAGCTTCTCAGATGGTGGGCTTGCCTGTATTCTTTGATTGTTATGCTGGAAGCTGACAATTCAGCAAAACACATGATTAGCCCATGTTTGAGATTCCCTGTTTTGTTGGAAATTAAGCACAAGCAGAACTCTGTTCCTATTCAGCAAAGAGTAGGAACACATGCTGAAATAGCAGTAACTACTTCAGTGTGACAACATTGCAGGTGCCTTCGTTATCACATCCAAARTCAAGAAGTGAACATCATCCCTGTTTTTGTACAGCATGGTTTTTCCAGGGACCCTCTTGGGCTGTTGAGGACAGAAGAACAGACAGGATGGTGATGCCCCAGCTCTAGGGGACAGGACATTAAAGGACAAGTTAATGTCATWATTACGTCAATCACAAATAGTTTACCCCTACAACAAAGTTGTGTTTGGTAAATAGCATACCATTAAGGGGCGAAAGGATAAATACAATCCCCTCAGTATACAGTCAGTAGCTGCTTTGAGAGCTCATGGCCAGAATGAAACTTGTCAAAACCAGTGGACTCAAGTCTGGAGAAAATGGGAAAATCTTTAGTGATCTTGACAGCCAACTAGGAAAAAAATAAATAGATGAGATTGAGTCAGCTGTCAGGAATATAAAATGTGCTATGCTTATTTTCCTTTCATGTGCCAGTTAAGAATGACTAAAGGTGGCTGGCAAACCTTCAAGTCCCAGAGAAGCAGAGGTCCTAAGCTCTGGTCCAGCTCTGCTCTTGTGATGCCCAGCATCTCAGTGCTCAAGGGTCCTAGGGAGGACTGTAGGATTCATCTTCAGGAAGCATCAGACAAGGGCTGTTTGGGCAGTTCATGACAAAAACTGTGAATCCAGGACAGTTGGTGCTGGCTGGAAATCTTCTTGGTGGGCAGGGGGACTGAGATGAGTCTTGGGGTCTTCTTAGTTTGTGCATAACATAGGAGGAGAGATGAGAAAAGCTGAATAAACTACAGAGTGGGTAATTTCAACAGGCTAGAAGATTGTTCTTTGCAGTACTGTTATTTGGAAAGATAGGATGTTGGGATTATAGAGAAGATACTTGGGGTAAGTGGCTCATTTTTATCCAATATTAATAGAGTAATTTGGCATCCAAAGTATGACATTTTGCACTTAGATTTCTGTGTAAATTAAATCACTTTACATTATATTGTTGRTTTTTATATTTCTACTTAATTTATTTATGGAAGGCAAATGTTTATATCAGACTATTCATGYAATGTCCAAACTTCTTTGGATCATGTATACTAAGAATAGTCTTGGCTACTGAAAGTGGCATAGATCTATATTTTGTACATATCTCAGAATATCAAGGACCAGAAGATAGTTTCTGGGCAAGTTTTAAATATCTTTTGAAAAGGAAACACAAGAAAACTCAGTTATGGCTGYAGAGGATCATATAGACCAAGCATAATATGTTAAGAAACATATGGTCCATATATAGAACATGAACTTCAAAATGAAAACTGAAAGACATTATACTGACTGAGTTCCAGAAAAACTAACAGATGTGAAAAGATATGATTATTTAAAGGCTGAAAAAGGAACTCAAATACTGGCAGATTCTTACTATATTTCAGTGAGTAAACAAATGCGCTCCTTACTCCACAGTAATTCTTATTCCACAGTAATTTAACCTGTCATTCCAATGCTAAACAGCCTGAGGTAAGGAAAAGGCTTCATCTGATTGTTTTAAGGCCATCTTCCACACTTCAACAATGTATTGAGGTGAAATCTAAGGGTGGAGAAGAAAAAAAAAAAAAAAAAAAAAAATAGAGACTCTTTCCAATTTAAAAGACACTATGAATTGTTATAGTTTACTTCCAGGGAGGCACTGAAGCCCATCCATCTCTTGCTAGGCCAGCTGAGGGTACAGCAATCTCTCACCCTGCTGGGGATGCTGTCACGGACCATGGGCACGGTGGCACTATCTGGCCCTCCCAGCAGGCAGCYGCTACTGAGCCTTGTGCAGTGGAAATAGGAGCTGATGGAWAAYTTCAGCTYCCTCCTMACTTTTCTGGGACTTTTCTGTGGCWCTSTTTTTTCCCTCGKGCAGTAGTTTGTTTTCCACATTTCAGGAAAGCTCTGTGCACTGTTGGCATGGATGCAATAATGTTTGAAAATGCCTTCGCTCSAGCTTGGGATCGCCTGGCCATAACTCAGGTTCCAGGTGTTAATGATGTTCTGCTCTGAGTTCATACAGACAATTCCAGGGTAAAGGCAGAGCACTAAAATAATTACCAGATTACATTTTATTTTTWAAATATTTACTGCCAACAGCTTACAGCCTCTATGGAGACTGTGTTTTCCACCCTATTATGAAAATAAATCTCTCTTCCTCAGGATGCCTTTTCTGTTTAAGCAAAATTAAGTATCTGATCTTTTGAGAGGCTTGCTGGGGTTAATTCACTGCCTCTATTTTCTTTAGTAGTGATCTCAAATGAGTTTGGGAAGATAATAAAACCTTCTACAACACAATGATTAGTCCTTTTAATTAATAGGGCTSAATAGAGCCAGAAGTATAGCTTCCAGAATATTCATCCTCAGCCTGGCATGGTTCCTTGTTGCTTCCAGTGTCATCTAAGCATGCTGTTGCATTTCCAGGATTTTGAATTGTTCTCTTCACATGATGTTATAATACAACATTTTTCAAACAGATGATTTCTGGTGCAAATGGTTTGCAGAGGCATGCTTGATTCTTGTGGAGGCACATGCAAACATTCTTCCTGATATTTGGCTTCTTCTATTAAAGAGCCACATAAGGGACTGAGCAGCATTTCATATTTTAACAACAGGGAAACACTCTTCTAGAATGTGCCCTTTTCATATTTTTAGGTGCAAAGTGTGCTTCTGGTGCCTCTGAGAACCTCTGCACCTCTGGTACACGAACCTCTTGARAATGCCAGCTGCAGAGATTGTGCAAACGTTTTGTAGCAGCACTGTTTGGATCCCACCACAAAGAAAACTTCTTGTTTAATATTTCCAGCTGAGGTTGGAAAGATAGTTTTGCAGCCTGGAATGATCTCTGGAGTGTTAGCTAAACATTGCCAGTTTATGGCCAAACTGAAATGTGGAAATGATGGATTAATGTCYCTTTTGCGCAACTTCTCAGCTAAATACTTAGTCCTGAGCACATGCATGGTTCCCTTGACTACGTGTGTGTTTTCTGACACTTCAGCTATGTGACAGTGCTTGTAAGATTAAAACTTTGTATGAAATAGTTTGTTTTATTATGTGCTCAGGCTGTGGTTTCACATGGTTATTTAGGGTGTTTCATACCCTATCTAATAGAGACAAATTGAAAGGCGCTGGGCAAACTCACTCTACTGGTTCATACTGGTTTAAAAAAATGTAAGTAGGAGGTATRTCTTGTCCTAGAGACTTACACAGACTGTTTGAATTCTTATTATATAAGCTATATTACATAAAGAATTCTAATGCTTTMTTTTGGCTGTAGTATTGTTTGTCCTCCTGTGGCTGGCAAAAAATCAACATACCTAACATATTTTTCACTCTGATTCAGCATAATGCACAAGTATTCACATCTGAKATCAGATTTGTGCTGCCGGGTGATGCAGTAATACAGCTTCTGTATCCATTAAGTCACTTTTTATGGGAGAACCTAATCCAAAAATGAGCAAGACTCTCTCTGAAGTCAGGTGGCTTTGGATCAAGTCAGTCTCTCATCTGCTTGCTCCCTCCAGGCTGAAACAGACTGGGGACTTTAACTGATTTTAAAAGGGTGCTTCATTTTTCAAGAGAATAATTTAGATTTAATCTTATTTAGTAAATGCTCTGCTGCTGGTTTCTTTTTTCCTAGTAGCAAACCTGAATGTACTCCTAATTCTCCCGACCACAGCCCATTCCCAAAGTCATCCCCATGATAAGGCTTGTGACTGGAGTGAAAAAGAAAAGCTGCTTACAAAGCTGTCTCAAACCTTTTCAGAATTGTAGAATATTCCCAAGATACGTTTCTCTACCTTGTCTTCCAAAGGTGTGCTCCTGCCATGCTGAGTAGGGCTGGTCTTATCAAGAAGGTCACGGAGGCCAGGAAGTTTCRCATTGCAGGTGAAACCACATTGCCTCATCTCTCTGGATAATCATTTACCTGCTTACACACGCATGCTTCTGGCTGCAGACTCACTGTGTGACATGTGCTGAAGCCACAGAAAAAGGCTGAAGTGTTTTTGCAGGAATTGTTAGAAAAAAACAGTCAGCAGGCGTTTGTGGTATTTCCTTTGAGTTTCTGCGTTCTCTGCTTCCCTGGAACATGGAGCCATATAGACCTGAAGATTTGGAAGTGGAAGGGGAAAAATTAAGCCAGTTTAGGTGGTATTATGGGCATATGGGACACATTGAAAAAGGAGATTATTGAGTGATGGCAGTACCGATTAACAAAAAATTTGCTGCAAAATTTATGATAACCCCCTGCACCAGTACAGGCTGGGGGCTGATCTGCTGGAAAGCAGCTCTGTGGAGAAGGATGYGAGGGTCCTGGCGAGCAACAACCTGTCCATGGGCCAGCATTGTGCTCTCATGGCCAAGAAGGTAAATGGAATCCTTAGGTTCATCRGAAAGAACATTGCCAGCAGGTCAAGGGAAGGTGTCCTGTACCTCTRTTCAGCCCTGGTGRGGCCATTTCTGGAGTGCTGTGTCCAGTTCTGGGCTCCTCAGGACAAGGAAGGATCTCCTGGACTGGATCCAGTGGATGCCAACAAAATTGATTAAGGGACTGGGACATCTCTCTTATGAGGAAAGGCTGGGGAAGCTGGGCCTGTTCAACCTGGAGAAGAGATGACTGAAAGGGAACTTCATCAATGTAATTAAGTAGCTGAAGGGAGAGTGTCAAGAGGATGGAGCCAGGTTCTGCTCAGTGGTGCTGAGCAATAGGACAAGAGACGATGGGCAGAAACTGATGCACAGGAAGTTCCACCTGAACATGAAGAAYGRTTCTGCTGYGCATRTGAGYRCTGGAACAGGTTGCCCAGAGGTTGTGGAGTCTTTCTCACTGGAGATATTCCACAACTGTCTGGAATCAATCCTGTGCCATGTGCTCTGGGATGACCCTGCTTGAGCAGGGAGGCTGGAACTGATGACCTACTGTAGTCCCTTCCAAACTTACCCATTATATGGTTCTGTGATTTGCTTCATCTACCCTTGACAGAGACCAGTCTGATTCTTATTCATGCCTCAACATATGTTCCACGAGGTAAAAGATGGCTACCGGGAGTAGTGCGCTTTCTGGGAGCTCTGTCCCTCAGGAGGCTTTGCCTGGCAGCCAGTCACGGGAGAGACAGCTTCCCCCACTGCTCTGCAAGCGCCCTGCCCCCCTGGCTGGTGAGGTAGATGCCCGGATGCCCGGGAAAACAGCGCGCGGAAAAAACGCGCGGGAAATCATGCTATGGGAGGGCGAGGCAGATAAAAACCCCGAACGGCGACACAACGGGGGCCATTTTCCTTTGGAGTTCTTGGAGGTAGCGGAGGTCCGCCTCGAGGGTCACCTTGGCCTCCCCCTGCTCCCTCGCTTTTCCTTTTCTCCCTGTGGTCCTGCCTTCCCTGTCCGCACCTGTCTTCTCCGTGTGCTCTGTTTCGCCGCTTCCCCGAGGCATCTCGACCCTGCGACAACCTC